CAAGGACGAGACCGTGCTGGGATATGCGGTGCAGACGCGGGAGCGCAGGGTGACCTAGGCGGTGGTGCCAAAGGAGAGTCGAGTGAGTGAGGGACCGACAGGAGCAGGCAGCAGCAACCTGGGTAGACACAGCCACCTGAAGGGGCGCCCCAGCCGGGGGGGTCACGGTGTCCAGAGTGAACAGGCCGGACATCGAATCCCGGGGGAACGTGGACAGGGGGGCACCAGTGGCGGCCTCAGTACAGACAGCATACCGCTCGTGACCAGGGAACGTAGTGGTGACGCCAAGGTCCTGGAGGCAGCCGACACCAACTAGGTTCCTAGAGAATGAGGGGATATGCAGACCTGTAAGAGAGCCCGAAGGAACCGCCGGACAGGGAAGGGTGGTGGAACTGCGAGCGACTACCGGACCGCTGGAGGGGTCAGCAAGAGAAACGGCAGCAGGAACAGGAAGCGGCGTCAGTGTAGTAGAGTCGCGGAAGAAGCACCGGGAAGCGCCAGAGTCTAAGGTGAAGGAAAGCGAAGCAGTGGCGTCCGGCGACGGGGCGACGGTGGAAGCACCAAGGCTAAACAAACCAGGGGCTCCTACGCTTGACGCAGCAGGGGAGGCTAAGCTAGGCACACCTACACTAGACGACAATGAGTAATAAGCGGGAAGCACACTAGAGTCATCAGCATACATCACATGCAGAGCAGAAACAATGGCATCCATGTCCATGTCAAAAATCTGAATCCTACGACTAAGCAAACTGTGCCAGTCCGGGAGGTCTGGCGACGGGCCGAAGCGCTGACGAAACAGGTCGTCCAGGCGACGAAAACAGCGGGGAGTGGTATGACCGAGCTTACCGCAAACGAAGCCGCGGCGAGGACCGGACTGGATCTGGTACTGACAACGCACGCCTCCCGAACCACCACTCGGCACACCACCACGCGCCTGACCACCTCCAGCGCCAGGCCACTCGGGCGGGAGGACACTCGCCTGCCTCGTCTGCGGCGGCTGCTGCGGCTGTTGCGACTGCTGCGGCTACTGCTTCGACTGCGGAGGCGGCGGCTCAGCTGGATCGGGCAGGGTCCCCTCGTCCGCTCCAGCACCAGACGACCCGACTCCACCACCACCCCCTCCTGCACCCCCTCCTCCTCCGCCGCGCCCAGCCTTGGGGCGGCGGCCCTTCCCCGAACGAAACTGCGCTGCAGCAGCAGTCTCAGCCACTGCGACAGAACCGTCGGAGAAGGTACACTGAGCGGGGGCACAACCCTGAAAGATAGGGACCGGCACAGTACCGCTCGCCTGGGCGATGGAGCGGTGGCGGGTCTCAATAACAGTCAGGGTGTCTCCAAAGTCGGTGAGGGTGAGCTCACCGGGGTGAATGCTAAGGAAGCGGTCGCGGGCGGCGGCAAGGCGCTCAGGGAGGCGGGTGGCAAGCAGGTAGAGGGTAGAGGTAATGGGCGGCTGGTGGGCTCCAAGCTGTGCGTCAGTGCAGGCAGCGCGCTAGGTCTCATCTATCGTGTGCAGGTGGGCAGCCAGGTCAGAGACAGTGGGGAAAGACGCAAGGTCGGGAAAGAGCATCGGGAGGATCAGGCGACCCACCGAGGCAGCAGGAGGGGTGGAATAGCGCTTGATGACAGCATCTAAGTAAGCCTGGGCAATAGTGATGGACCTAAAGCGAGGGCGCTCAGACGGGGGAAGGGCATTGCTAATGGCAAGCTGAGCGACAGCGTCTCGGGAAAGCCAGACAGAGCGCGCAAGGGCAGCGGCTGCAGTAGACTCGCGCTCAGCGGGTGTGGGGTCAGCGGGCAGCACAGCAGGGGGGTATGGGCAGGGGAGCGTACCGTCAAGGTGTGCGGAAAGCGGGTGGCCATCCTGCCGATGGCCAGTGAGGTGGCGACGGAGGTCGGCGAGCCACGCCTCGAACTCCACAGGCTGGCCTTCAGCGTCGAAGCGAAGCTCCGCCGCCATCAGGAGCAGTGCAGGACTGTACAGTGTGGTGTAGTGCGGTGCAGTGCAGGGCAGCGCGGTGCAGTGCGGTGCAGGGCGGTGCAGTGCGGTGCAGGGCCGTGCAGTGCGGTGCGGTGCCGTACCGTACGATGCAGTGCGGTGCAGTGCGGTGCAGGTGATGGGGAACCGTACCAGGGAGGATGCAGGGCCGGGGCAGGCACGACGAGCGGGCCGCACACAGCTCGGGGCAGGACGGGCGCGGGGGCCAGGAGCAGCAGGCACCAGGCCGACGGGACAGGCGCGGGGCCGGCTGGGACGGGCACAGGGGCCGAGCAGACGGGCGCGGAGGTCGCGAGGGCGGGCGCGGGGCCGACTCGGACGGGCGCAAGGGCCGAGCGGACGGGCGCGGAGGTCGCAAGGGCGGGCGCGGGGCCGGTAAGAACGGGCGCAGGGGCCGAGAGGGCGGGCGCGGAGGCCGTTAGGGCGGGCACGGGGTCGGCTAGGACGGGCGCTAGAGCGGGCGCGGGGGTCGCTAGGGCGAGCACGGGGCCGCTAGGACAAGCGCTGGCGCGGGGCCGGCAGGAACAGGCTCAGGGGGGGCGAGAGGGCGAGCGCGGAGGCCGCTAGGGCGGGCACGGGGCCGGCTAGGACTGGCGCAGGGGGCTGCTAGGGCGGGCACGTGGGCCACTAGGGCGGGCACGAGGGCCGCTAGGGCGGGGACGGGGCCAGCTAGGATGGGCGCTAGGGCCGAGGGGAGGGGGGGCGCGAGGGCCGTAAGGAGGGGCGCGAGGGCCGTGAGGAGGGGCGCGAGGGCTGTGAGGAGGGGCGCGAGGGCCGTGAGAAGGGGCGCGCGGGCGCGGCTAGGACGGGCGCGCGGGCGCAGCTAGGACGGGCGCAGCTAGGACGGGCGCGGGGCGCGAGGGCCGTGAGGAGGGGCGCGCGGGTGCGGCTAGGACGGGCGCGCGGGCGCGGCTAGGGGGGGCGGGTAGGTCCTAGGGCGGAAGCGTGGGGCGGGGACCGACCTACTGCTGATACCATCTCAAAACTGAATGAATGGTTAGTAGAGAGAGAGTACAGGTGAATATACCTAAGCGTTGTACCCTCTAAGAGGTGACCCTATACAGTCTATGCAAACATAGGAGATACACATGTTTGACACTTTCCTAGAGCTATAAATCCTTGTAGTGTCCTTTTATTATTATCCTTGAGATTTCAACTTTGAGAACTTTGAGACTTGACTTTCACAGAAACATATACTCAGGTTCACTCTTACAAGACTTCCGCTGTCTTACTAGTCTACCATTCTAGTAAAGATCCTAGGCTAACACTTGAGGTTTTCCAAGTATTCGTGTTTGCAGATTCTTTACATAGTCTTCTGCAACACCTGTCAAATTATTAGAAAATGAATCTGAGGGCCTGGCGTATTTTTACTGTGCCTGTTCAATACCAAGAAACCAAACTTCGCGAACAACCGAATTGAACCGTATAGGATTTCGCATTTCGACATTGGGACATTACTGTACCGCGTTTCAGACTCGATTTTGGGTTTGCTGTAACTGAACAACACCTTGCTGTAGGAATTACGCCCTAAGAAAGAAGTAAACGATGGCTAGAATATCAAAGTAAGAATGAATGAGTAGAATGATGCAAGCACGTTGGTTTGGTCCAAGGGGTTGTGCCCTCTAAGAGTACGCACCTATCTAGCCTATAAGATATATACAAGATATGTTTGATTCACCCCCTAGGCTAGATGAGGGGCACTACCTGGCAAGAGACACACAACTCAGGGTGGCACTACTAGTGCAACCTCTAAGGCAAGGGTCCGAAGTCCAGTCAGCAAGAGTACAAACTAAAGAAGAGCAATCCAGGGCGCTACTACTAGTTCAGCCACTGGGACAAGGGCCACGAGGCCAGTCAAGATAATATAAAAGTAGTATACAATCAAGGTCCTAGCAAGTGAGAAGCTACTAGAACCAGACCAAGCAATACACAATACCGCTGATGATCTTGAGGCGCAAGCGCCTTCGTAAAGATATCAGCTGTGTTGGCACCTGCGGCCAAGTGTACTACGCGGGCCTGGCGGCGCTGCTGCAGTTCGCTCAGGAGGAAGTACCGCAGTTGGATATGCTTCGCTCTGCCCTCCAATCGAGGCTCCTGACACATGAGGATCATGGTCATGTTGTCAGCGGGAGTTGCCGGCTAGCTGGGGGCCGGCGGGGCGCACACGGCTAGCGGAACACGGGGCTAGCGGGGCGCTAACAGGGCCAGCGGGGCGCACGGGGCTAGTGGGGCGCGACGGGGCTAGCGAGGCGCGAACGGGGCCAGCGGGGCGCTCGGGGCCGGAGGTGCGTAAGGGGCCAGTGGGGCGCACGGGGCTGGAGGGGCGCGACAGGGCTAGCAGGGCACACACGGGGCCAGCGGGGGGGGCGAACGGGGCCTGCGGGGCGTACGGGGCCGGCGGGGCGCACGGGGCTAGCGGGGCTGGACGGGGCCAGCGGGGCGCTAACGGGGCCAGCGGGGCGAACGGGGCCAGCGAGGCGTATGGGGCTGGCGGGACGCACGGGGCTAGTGGGGCTCGACGGGGCCAGCGGGGCGCTAACGGGGCCAGCGGGGTGCTAACAGGGCCAGTGGGGCGAATGGGGCCAGCGAGGCGTACGGGGCTGGCGGGCCACACGGGGCTAGCGGGGCTCGACGGGGCTAGCGGGGCACGAACAGGGCTAGCGGGGCGTTAAGGGGTCAGCGGGGCATACGGGACCAGCGGGGCGCACGGGGCCAGCATGGCGCTAACGGGGCCAGCGGGGTGCTAAGGAGCCAGCTGGGCTCTAAGGGGCTAGCGGGGCGGTAAGGGGCCAGCGTGGCGCTAACAGAGCGGCTAGGACTAGGCCTAAGGCAGAAGCGCGAGTGGGCGGGGGGGGGACCTAACCTAGCGTGATACCATATCAAAGTGAGAATGAATGAGTAGAATGATGCAAACACATTAGTTTTGTCCAAGGGGTTATACCCTCTAAGAGTACGCACCTTTCTAGCCTATAAAACATATACAAAACATGTTTGACAGGAATCTGAACTTGCATAAACTTCATATTACTTAATAATAAGGACAACTCATTGTGGACACAAACCATTCCTACACTATGAAGCAATTACTACACAATCTACAGGAACGTTACAGCTAGTGCTACAACAATAAGTGTATTCAATAATATGGTTGGTTGAATAAGCAGGCACGAAGACTCATCTGCACAAGAGCAAATGCACGCACACGAAAATGGGAAAGAATAACAAGGAACAAGGAATAATGAAGGTAAAAGGCATTTACAAATGCATAGATTGTTGTCGTCCCTTCCCTTGTAGATGGTGGGGAAGAAGCAAGCAACGAGTTGGTAACGCAGCACAAGTCCCATGCACCTGTGCATGGCCATTCATCGTACCATAGCTTGGGTCGGGAGGGTTTTCAAATATGGCGGGGGAGGAGCGGATGATGGCACTAGTTGTGGCGTTGATGAGCTTGCCCGAGGTGCCTGCATTGTGTTGTGTGTGGGGAGAAGGTGAAAATACACATTATTGAAGCGCGCGTGTGGAGGAGGGGAAGGTGACCTCCATTTTGATGAGTTGCCGGAGGTGCTCTCAACAACGTGTGTTGAACCGGAGAACGATCACAATTGATTAAATGCATAGATAGGAAACATCAGAATCCAATGCAAGAATGTGCAGCAGTGAAATGATGCTGTCAAAATGGCTCCCTTGAAGCTCGCAACACACGAAGAATGGCCGCTACTTGCAAACAGCAGATGCGACAAAGTTTATCAGAGAGCGATAGGAGCATTCACTAGACAGGGAAAGGCGTTTTGAGATGTCTGACAACAATAGTATAGATTTATGGGGATGCCACCTGACGGGGGGGATGAAGCGCACTTACAATTCATGGGTATGAATCCGATTGTGTTGGTTTCGTGATTGAAAAGAACGTCGTTGTTGCGAAGCCATGACCCTGCAAGCGAACACCAAACAAAGGAGGTTAAGTGCAGCACGGAATTAAGGGCAGAGGGGCCAGGCATGCATAAACACAGCACACAGACACAGCGCAGAGAAATAGCAACCCCCCCTCTCTCTCCCCCCCCCCCCCCCCCCGGAGCACACACACACCCCCCCGCCCGCACCCGCGCACACAACCCACACCACACAACACACAGAACACAATACAGCACACAATACAGCACACAACCCACAGCCCACAGTACACTGCAGTGCAGCACGGAGCCGGCGCGCATCCCTTACCTCCAATGTAGGTCGTGTTTGACTCCCGGTATCCGATGGCTGCAATGCACAGCAGCGTGTCGTTCTGCACGCAGACAAGACGAACAACAGGTAAAGTGCATGATAGGGGGGCGAAACAGGGGGGAACGCACACGGTCGGGGTAGATCAGACTACTTGAAGTAGATGGTAAAAGAGATGGGATAGGATGGTAAACGAGATGGGATAGGATGGTAAAAGAGATGGGATAGGATGGTAAAAGAGATGGGATAGGATGGTAAAAGAGATGGGATAGGATGGTAAAAGAGATGGGATAGGATGGTAAAAGAGATGGGATAGGATGGTAAAAGAGATGGGATAGGATGGTAAAAGAGATGGGATAGGATGGTAAAAGAGATGGGATAGGATGGTGCATGGCTGAAGGCAAAGGCTGACAAACAACACCTCCAGCACGCATGGCATAAGAACGAGGCTGCAAGGCACACATATGGCATACGGATAGGCATGCTCTCAGAGCAATCTAGCACGCATGACATACCCATGAGCTGACTAGAGCGGAAATCAACCATATGAATGCGCTCCTTGTGACAGAGGCACATGCTACTAGGGATGCCCAACATTATTGCGCACCTTGTGAAAAAGGCTGTAAGGGGTAGTTGTAGGACGGCACCTTGTGGAAGAGGTAGTTGTAGGGGGGGATGGCACCTTGTGGAAGAGGTAGTTGTAGGGGGGGACGGCCCAGAGCAGGTTGGCAGAGAAGTCGAGGAGGAGAGGCGGGTAGGTGGACGCCAGGTCCGCACTCGACCTGGGGGGGGGGGGGGGGGGGGGGGGGCATGGGAAGAGGCATGGCGGGCACACCAGGGGGAGGGGATGAAAGGCGGCAGGCAGTGGGTGAGTGGAGGCTGAAAAGAAGAGGAAAAGCTCATGGTGCTGCAAGCAAGGAAGTTGGAGGACAGGCATGAGCACGAATGTGCAGGTGTCCGTGACGCAATACACGAGAGGAGAGCAACTTTCAGCTGAATAAATCAGAATGGAAAAACGGTTATCGAACAGCACGCTCACATCCGCTTTTGCGTGCGGAGGCAGCGGAAGTAGCCCGACCAGATCATTGGCTGATTCGCCACCTCCTGGAACTGGCGATGGGCACGGATGGCATGGCATGGATGGCATGGCATGGATGGCACGGATGGCATGGCATGGATGGCACGGATGGCATGGCATGGATGGCACGGATGGCATGGCATGGATGGCAAGGATGGCATGGCATGGATGGCACGGATGGCATGGCATGGATGGCACGGATGGCATGGCATGGATGGCACGGATGGCATGGCATGGATGGCACGGATGGCATGGCATGGATGGCAAGGATGGCATGGCATGGATGGCACGGATGGCATGGCATGGATGGCACGGATGGCATGGCATGGATGGCACGGATGGCATGGCATGGATGGCACGGATGGCATGGCATGGATGGCAAGGATGGCATGGCATGGATGGCACGGATGGCATGGCATGGATGGCACGGATGGCATGGCATGGATGGCACGGATGGCATGGCATGGATGGCACGGATGGCATGGCATGGATGGCAAGGATGGCATGGCATGGATGGCACGGATGGCATGGCATGGATGGCACGGATGGCATGGCATGGATGGCACGGATGGCATGGCATGGATGGCAAGGATGGCATGGCATGGATGGCACGGATGGCATGGCATAGATGGCACGGATGGCATGGCATGGATGGCATGGATGGCATGGTATGGATGGCATATGTATGGCATGGATGGCATGGATGGCATGGATGGCATGGCATGGATGGCATGGATGGGGCAGGAGCAAGCAAGGCAAGAAAAGAGGACAGTGAGAGACATAGGAGGGGGAAAGGGATGAGGAGTAGAACAAGGTAAGCAGACAAGAACAAGGCACTCTTTTGCCACTCATGTGGCTGAAGGCTAATCGACATGGGGCTGATAATAAAGGCTGGTTATGAAGGTCGAGAATGGCCATTAACACGAATCGGAAGAACGAAAAAAAAGGGGAAAAAAAGAGAAAAAAACCAAGGAAATAGAAACAGGGCTGTGATCCTCATCCAGCCGTTCTGGAGGGAGCGGTGACCACGGGAGCGGGCAGAGAAGTGACCGTGGATCCAGCATCAGCCACTCACTGCACCACCTGACAGCACTCTCTGGGGAAATGAACTCACCGTTTTCGAGAGAGCGGTGAAGATGGGGGCAGGGAGCGCAGTAAACGTGGATCCACTGTCAATCACCGCACCACCCGACACCGCCCCTGTAGGGAGCGACCCCCCCGCCGTTCCCCCACTACCATCCCCCTCGCTACTATCACCCCCGTTCTCGCCACCCCCCCCGTCCGTGGCCCCATCTCCCCCGAGGAAGTTGCTGTCAGCAGAAGGAGGCGGGACGCCCTGCGGTGGCGTGGAGGCAGTGATGGTGGTGATGCCCTTCGGTATCGGCACGAGGGTTGGGCCCAGGTGGAGCGAGTACAGGGGCACACGGTACACCGTGCTGAAAAGGGGGGGAGAAAGGGAGGGGAGAGAGGGGGAGTAGAGAGAGGGGGGCCAGAGAGGTGGTTAGGAGGACTAGAGTTGAGTGAACAGTCCCCTTTGGAATGGCGCCCAGGAACAAGCGACGAGCGCCCAGGGATGAGCGACGAGCGACGAGGGACGAGGGACGAGGGACGAGGGACGAGGGACGAGCGCAGCAGCGGCAACAGCGCAGCGGCAGATGGCACATAGAGCTGCCGGGGGGAGGTGGGTAGGGAAAACGGAGGGAAAAGGGGGAGCGGAAGGGAAGTCACACGGGAGAAGTCGGTAGAGAGGGCTGAGAAGGGTGCACGGGAGAAGAGATGGCGAGTGAGGGAGGGTGGGGAATGGATGGAGAGAGAGGAAGAGAGCATGAACCACTTGAAAGAGAGCTTGAACCACTTGAAAGAGAGCTTGAACCACTTGAAAGAGAGCTTGAACCACTTGAAAGAGAGCTTGAACCGCTTGAAAGAGAGCTTGAACCACTTGAAAGAGAGCTTGAACCACTTGAAAGAGAACGTGAACCACTTGAAACAGAACTCCAACCTTCACATCCCACTGACAGGCATTTGAAGGAGCAACTGTTGAGTCGCCTCACAAGTGGCCTCAACACTTCCCCACACACAACAGGTCGTCTTAGGGAGCGGGGGAAAAAGAGAGGGCTCCACTCGTCTCACTCACAGGTCGTCAGAGGGAGCGAGGGGCGCCGTGATGGTGGCGTTGCTGTCGGGCAGGGTCCTCCTCCCCAGCACGAGGTGCCCGCCGCGCTGCTGCCCCTCGAGGCAGAGCGAGAAGGAAGCGTGCAGCACCTGCTGCGCCGCCAGCTGCGACACCACCGACAGCAGCCCGCGCCCCAGCCCCATCACGCCGCTCAGCGCCGTGGACGAGGACGTGGACGCCAGGCGGCCCGACTGGTGCACGCCGCAGCTGCGTGCGCGCAGGGAGGGATGTAGGGGGCAGGAGAGGGTGCTTGAGACATCTCAAACACAGCCCCATGATGCCGCTGATGATGGAGGACGAGGAGGTGGAGTGCGGGCAAGAGGCTGGGACTGGTGCACGCACGCCCCAGCTGAGCGAGGGACAGTAAGGGAGCGGCAGAGGGTATGCAAAGAAAGGGGCACGGCAGGACCAGCATGGCTGGGAGTGACTGCAGGAGCAGCATGGCTGGGAGTGACTGCAGGAGCAGCATGGCTGGGAGTGACTGCAGGAGCATCAGGGCTGGGAGTGACTGCAAGTCAGTGCGAGCAGGTCAGTGCGAGCAGGTCAGTGCGAGCAGGTCAGTGCGAGCAGGTCAGTGCGAGCAGGTCAGTGCGAGCAGGTCAGTGCGAGCAGGTCAGTGCGAGCAGGTCAGTGCGAGCAGGTCAGTGCAAGTAAGTAAATGGGTGGGGAATGAGCTGCGCGCACAAGGGGAATGAGCTGCGCGCACAAGGGGAATGAGCTGCGCGCACAAGGGGAATGAGCTGCGCGCACAAGGGGAATGAGCTGCGCGCACAAGGGGAATGAGCTGCGCGCACAAGGGGAATGTTGCGCATCTCACCCAAATGCGATGGTGGCAGCGGCGGACTTGTTGCGTGTGTTGCACAGCGCCACGGAGTCAAAGAGCAGGTCGCCCGCCGTGGTGCTGCCATCGCCGTACTGCAAGCTGTACTGGCAGCGCCGGCTGCTGCGGATGCCGCCCACCTGGTGGTGGGAGAGAAGGGAAGAGGATGGGAGGCCGGAGAGGGGAAAGATGGGGGAGGATGGGAGGCCGGAGACGGGAAGAAGAAGCCACCCGCCGTGCCGTAGCTTCTCGCCCCTCGCCGAGCTGCAGCACATGCACACACGTTCTCGCCCTTCACCTTCTGGCAGCCCACGGGCATCTCCAGCACGTACTGCGGCGACAGCTAGGTTCTCAAGGATGCACGGCCCCATGCACGCACGCACGCCCCCACGCACGCACGCATGTTCGCACGCACGCACAACTCACCCTCTCACACGCGCCACACACTGCACTCCCGCTCACCTGGCATCCGACGGGCATCTCCAGCGCGTACTGCTGGGTGAGCTGCGTGCACGGCGCATCGGTGCACGCGCCGCTGCCCAGGGTGCTGGAGTTGCCCGCCCAGTACACCAGCTCGCCCCCCTCCAGCGGCCGCAGATTGCTGGGCGGCGGCGCTGGGGGTGCTGATGCTGACGGTGGTGCTGGTGGTAACGGTGGTGCCTTGGACGGTGGTGCGCCTGACAGTGGTGATGGTGGTAACGTCTCGGATGAGCGCAGAGGGTCCGCCCCGCCACTGTCTGCCACTGCTGCAACGCTGTACCACCCCGAGACTTGAGAGGGGGAAGGCCCGTCACCAGCACCCTCTGCTCCAACCCCCATGAGCGACTCTTGAGGCACCACCAGCCGCCCGATCCCTCCATCAAACCCGAATTCCTCCTCCTGCTGTATGCCCCCTCCAACGCCTGCTCCCCCTACCCCAGCCCCCCCCGCCCCTGCTCGTCCTTTCCCTGCCTTCACCGCCCCTCCTGCTGGTGCCACCCGCATTGCCTCTCCCTCTCCCTCCGCGCCTGTCTGTGCCTGTGTGTGTGCATGTGCGTGTGCCTGTGTGGGGGACGGGTTGCTATGCGCATGTGAGTGAAACGAGGGCGGTGGATCATCCACCTCCAGCGCCATCTGCGCCCCGGCAATCCGTCTCTGCGTGGGATCTGTTGCCGACCCCATAGCTGCGCTCAAAGCTGCGCTCGTGGCTGCGTCTGCAGCTGCGGCAGCGCGTGCATGAGCACCTGTGTCCGTTGCGACGACTGTGGCGTGGTTGAGAGATGCGGACGATTGGGGTGCTGGGTCCGCGGGAGGGGTGGGCGGAGATCCCCCGCCGCCTGATGCTCCCCCCTGTTTGGGGGGTTTGATGAGATGCGAGAGAGGCAGAAAGAGGAGATCGGCTGAATCTCTTCAACAGCGCTGCTTGTCAAGAGTGCCACAGCACAACCCACGAGACTCCAATCTCTTTCTGCCACCATCAGAGAGGCTGATACTGGTGCCGACCCTTGGTGCGCCTGAACCACCACGGGAAGCACCACGGGAAGCACCACGGGAAGCACCACTTCAACGGGAACCACAACGGGAAGCACATGCTACTGCACTGCTGTCATTACAGCTATCACTGAACCTACTGTTGAAGTGATCACTATCGCCAATGCTATTGCAAAAGCTACTCCTCAGGAGAACCGACCTGCGTGCCGTTGCTGTCAGGTGCAGGCGGCGAGCAGGAGGGGCAGACGCAGCGCGTCCAGAGCAGGTCGCTGCCCGTGTCCACCTGCAGGTTCACGGGCTGCTTGTGCGACCCCAGCTGCACCTGCACGAAGTACAGCCTGCAGCGGCACACGGGATGGGGGGGAGGGTTGGGGGAAGGCCGAAAGATTGGGGCAGGACGGGGGAGGGGAGAGGAGTGGGAGGCGACTTAACCCTGCCCGTGTCCACCTACGGGTTCACTGGCTGCTTGTGCGACCCCAGCTGCACCTGCACCAATTACAGCCTGAAACGAGCAGCGGGGAGGAGGAGGGTTTGAGTGAAATAAGGCGGAGAGGCGGAGCGATGTGGCCTGGGGACTGCTTCTAGAGCCCGGATAGCTAGTACAGACTCAACCGACTGCTCTGGCTTCACATCCTCCCTCCCCCCCTCCCTCCTCTCCCCCCTCCCTCCCTCTCTTCCCCCCTCCCCCCCTCCACTCCCTCCCTCCCTACCCTCCCTCCCTCCCTCCCCCCTTCCCCTCTCCCTCCCCCCCTCCCTCCCCCGCGCCCTCACCCTGCTTTGCTGAGGAAGTATCCGTCCAAGGGGTACTGCACGTCGCCCAGCGCCAACAGCCGCCGCCTGCCGCCTGCAGGTGGGGCCCACGGCAGGCCGTCCAGCAGCCCTGAGTGGCCGTCGGTAGCATCCCCACTGTCGTCTGCAGTGGCCCCTGCGGCCCCCTTGACCTCCAGGTACACGCCCTCGGGCGTGTGGCCCTGAGACATCAGCTGGCGGAAGAAGGGCGGCTGCGACGAGTGTGACAACGCCGAAGGCCCCAACTGTAAAGATAAGGGCGCGGCCTCTCTCGGTGTTCCTGCTGCTGCTGCTGCTGCTGCTGCTGTGGGTGGCACATGGCCCCACGCGAGCAACGGCTCCAGCAACCGCCGGTCATGGACCTGGGAGTGGGCGGAGACGCGGCGGATTCACGTTATTACGCAACGACCATGACAGGATTGGGGGGGAGAGAGTCCGAGAGGGAGCAGTTAAACAGTTATAGAGCACCCACCTCGGCTTCTATATGCATACAATAACCGGCTCAGTAGGCCGTAACGATGAAGTACCCCTGGCCTCTGGCCTAGTCCCCTTACATTACAGTCCACGAATTTATTCAAATCAAACAAATTTTCGTAACGCCTACAGGATGCATAATCGTCGGCGATCATACAGGAGTTATCAGAGACGCCACGAGAGGGAACGGAGAATATCTGATTTGAGGTGCGTGAGCGAGCCTACCTGCTGCGAATTCTTTCGCGAAGCCGCTAAGCTGTCGTTGTCGCATCGACAGAGGGGAAGGGGCCACGCGGAGAGCAGCAGCAGCGGCAGCACGAGCAGCGGAAGTGGAGCTGGAGGAGTCGCTGTGCGACGACGAGGCGACGACAGCTTCGCTGAGCGACAAACCGAGGAGGCCGCATTGATCGTGCGACAAAAGGCGGAGGCGGACGACGTTGTGCGACGAATCGCATTATGGGAAAGCATGGTGGCCTTTCGACTCACGACCGAACATTGTAGGTGTATCCGACGAAAGCCTAGCCTGGGGAGGGCGTAAGGAGGATCGGCTCGACTAGAAAGGACTTTCATCTATGACGACTAGACATGCTGTAAGTCTACCATTGAGCAGCAACGGTGGTAACAGGATCCACCAGCGAAAAACGGCGAGGTCTGGCGAAAACGCGAGCAAGAACTTATCCAGCTAACGATGAAACTTCTGTGCAAAAGCTGCGATAGTTAATCTGACCTTCGCCATGAAACTTCACGCCGAAAACCTATTGTATATGACACGCATGAGGTTAGCTCTCAGCTGGGCCAAGTCAACTCTACACTGTACTCTGTCGCTTGTAACCCTAGACTAACCTCTGTCGCACGGCGACGAACCTCTGTCGCTGGCAAGATCTTGAGTTGGGCTTGAGACGGAGCCGCGAAAATGAGCAGCCATCTTGCTTGTCTACTGTACTTGCCATAAACTGCGCAACTCTAGAAGGGAGGAAGCACGATGATGAGAGTGGCGTGGATCAGGCCTTCGAGTCACGAGCATGTGTAGCCACGTCATGTGTCTCGAGTCTCATCTCACTTTCCATCTCGCCATCTCTCATCCCTTGTGAACTACACTCCTGTCGTGACTCTCAGCCTCAAGCCATGTCATTCAAGCCGAGAGTCCGAGACAGAGCAGACTGTAGCTCAAGCTCAGAGCACCATGCTCGCTCACTTCCAAATCCAGCTCTTCCCCGTAAGTCCCTCGCCGTCCGAGTCAGTCCGTCATCAGTGACCGTTCCCCGTCATGTGTGCGAGGCAGGTGATGCGTCGAACGGAACTCTCTGGGTTCTACGAAACGGAAACGATGACGGATTTCGGTCACCGTGAAGGATTCCCCCTTGCTTTATGGTTTTCGGTGTGAGGTTCAGCGATGTCGTCAATTCCTGGCGATGTTGCTGCCCAGCCACCCTGAGCGCGAATCGCGTCCATCCATTCCAGCCCCCAGGTTCGCATATCCAAACCGGGGCAGGGATGTCGCCCTGAAGGAACATATTCTTTCGCTCAAGGGGCCGGCAGGCAAATATTCCCCACGCCCAAGATTCTTTCCGTGTGGCAGAATGGTGGCGAACAGGGCTTATGTTTGGTTTTTGAACAGCTCTGACGCTCAGAGCTCCCTTCGAATTTCCCCCTGAAAACCCAGGGTCCGAATATATACTGCTCTGTTTTTTCAGGACCAGCCGAAAAAATGCTCGGCGAGCACACATTTCCACGGATTTTACTTGAGGTTGTTCCAAGCTCTGCGTCAGATTGGATTCGCGTGTGTACTAGGGGTATGAGGGGAGCCACTCCTTCCCAACAAGTTGCCTGGTAGCCAGGTCCTAGAAGAGTGACAGGTGTTAGGAGTGTGTGAGATAAGGGGTGAGGGGAGGGAGGGGCGCCGGGGGAGGGAGGGTGCAGGTAGTGGAAAAATCAGGATTACCTGAAAATCTTATCGGAGTTTCCAGGGTCGCCTGACGATCTTCCCGGATTTTGTCAAGTCTGGGTCCAAAAAATACCGGAGAAAACCAGGGTTGGTCTAAAAACCACCTTAGAATTTCAGTCAAGTCAGGGCAAATGCCCTGATAACATAAGCCCTGGTGGCGAAGTGTCCGTTAGGTTTCGTGTCCTCAGAAGTGGGAGATGTAACCGGTTGGTTATACATGAACCAATCAGCTTCAAGCCAAACGGCTTGACTTCGACAGACCAGGTTTTGCCAAGCCAAACCCCACACTTCCAGACCATTCCTGCCATGGTACCCCCAAGGCCAAGCTGTCAGGCAAACTCGACTCATACTTCTCATTTTGCACGAAAAACGGTGTTTAGTGAAATATCTAGCACGACATAAATCGCCACCAACACGTAATATCGAACATCTGCATAATGGTCCCCTCTCACTTGCTCAAGCACGGTTGTCGGAGGGAAGGGGGGGAGTACCACCACGGTTAGCCAACTATGTGCACAGAGGCTCTCGCCCATCTCGTCCGCCGTTTCTTCTACCTTCCCGTCTCCGATCGCGCCCCCTTCCCCCCCTCTCGCTTCCCCATTCTCTGCCACTGCAGCATCCCCCTTCCCTTCTCCGCGCCCCGCTCATTCGTCCGTGCAATCGTTCATTTCACAGCCTCTTATCAGTCGCGCAGGGATCCGCATGCTCCCCCTGTTGCAGTGTTCGCTTCGACATAGTGTCTTCGCTTCGTGATAGCGCTCCATTCAGCTCCCTTTTTCTGCCTATCTTTGCCCCCTTCCATGTGCCGGCATCCACCTTCAATACAAAAGGTCAGAACGTCACAAATCAGCAAGCACTGACTCAAGAGAGAGGCGGGCAGGCAGGGGGGTAGCTAGGTCGTCTTGTAACAGCAATGGGACACCCACCGCCACATGAAGCCACAGCAGGAGCGTCGTCCACGTCAGACGCGTCCACATCATCGCTGCTGGATCGTGCCACGTCAGCAGTTATGGCGATGCGCCAGCACTGCGAGGACTATCCATACGTGTGGGCGTCCTACGGCGTCACCTTTGGTATGTATGTCCCTCTTAGTGTCGAGATCCTTGATGCTGCGTCCTCGCTGTCTCTTTGCCGCCCATCTGCCTCCCAATTTTCCTTCATATCAATCAGTATAAGCGGTTCCATATGATCACCACCAATTTTCATTGGCACTCTGGGTCCTGCCATTTCCTCTCTGCTCCTTTCCCTCCAACAACATTTTCGTCCCATTCCATGATGATTCCAGCCCTAATGGGATTATATTCTGCCCGGGCATGGCAAAGGCTGCGGCGAGCCGAAGATGATGTTTTACGGCTGCAGAGACAGCTTGGTATCAAAGCAGAAGATTTCACCCCTCGCTTTGTAAAAGAAACGCTCTCTTCATCCCAATCCAGTGCTCCGTCCACGCCTTCCTTGCCATCTCAAAACCCTAGTGCGCCTTCATAGCAGTAAACAGGAAATATGCCTTCTAGGAAATTGGTGCCGGTTTTGTTTTTTATAGAGGTAATTGTTAGTGAGCAATACAGTATGAGCTTAGTGTCGTAAGACCTGCTGGGGTTACCCTTTAGAAGATCCTCGGAGAAGGGCCACATATGCAGAGCCTGGGGGGCTATGGGCGCACTGACCTGCTATTAACAAGCTCTTTTCCACTAAGTGGTTAGTGACCTAGTTAAGAAAGAGAGGTGGTAATACGTAAATGTTATTAACATCATTGTTGAATGTCAAATGGTAATCCAGTGTACAACGGCCACCACCTTTGGCCCACCAACTTCGGGTCCTCAAACTTCCCAGGGCTTCCAATCCAACTCCCCCTCGCCTTCTGGCTCTATCCTCACATTTCACGGCACAAACGAGTTCGAGCCAAATGAACCAAAACAGCTCGCACTCCCCGATAACATCGCTCCAGTGAGCAGTCGCTTGCGCTATTCTCACGCCCGTCGTTCTTCCCTGGGTTTGCTTTTGAGTGGGCGAGCCCCTCTGGCTTGTTCTCACGCCCGTCGTCCGTCGTCGCACTGGGCTATAACTCTGGGAAGATCGTTAAGACACGCTGGTGAATCTAACGGCATAGTGGGCGGAACCGATGAGACCGATTGCGGCGAGCATGGAAGACGAGGAGGCGGATTGGAGGGTTCGGATGGAGAGAGGGAGCGCGGAGGAGGTCCGGGGTAGCGCGCTGGACCTACTGAAGCGGATGGAGGAGGACGATTCCTGGAAATTACCGTCCGTGCGCAGAATTCAGGTTGGTTCTTCTGCCGTTTTTTGCGGCAAATCCGAGAGAGAACAAGTCAGAGGGGCTCAGGGGTTTGTAGACGCCGGGTGTGCAGCCGGTACTCGCAGTTTTGTGGTAATCCTTCAGGGCAGCCTCGACCTCACTCCGTTACTTAGACCTCAGCCTCGACCTCAGTCCTTTAGGGGCCGTTTCCGTCGTTCACGCGTTCCGAGTTGCGACGGCTGGCCGTTCACGGTTTGGGCACGTTGCAGTGGACGGTGCTCGTGCTGCGACGGATACAGCTCGTGTTGCGACGGACACAGCTCGTGCTGCGACGGATGCAGCTCATGCTACGACGGATGCAGCTCGTGCTGCGATGGATACAGCTCGCGACCCCATTGCGGCGCTACTGCCATGTATCGGACACCTTGCCTTCCCGCCGGTCTCACGCCACGCCGCCCAGTTCGCTCCTTTTTTCTTTTCCCCCTTAGAGATCCCCCCTCTCCCCCTTAGAGACCCCCCCTCTCCCCCTTAGAGACCCCCCCTCTCCCCCTTAGAGACCCCCCCTCTCCCCCTTAGAGATCCCCCCTCTCCCCTTTAGAGACCCCCCCTCTCCCCCTTAGAGATCCCCCTCTCCCCCTTAGAGACCCCCCCTCTCCCCCTTGGAGATCCCCCCTCTCCCCCTTAGAGATCCCCCCTCTCCCCCTTAGAGATTCCCCCCTCTCCCCCTTAGAGACCCCCCCTCTCCCCCTTAGAGACCCCCCCTCTCCCCCTTAGAGACCCCCCCTCTCCCCCTTAGAGACCCCCCCTCTCCCCCTTAGAGATCCCCCCTCTCCCCCTTCCCGGCCGTCGGCGGCACTCGTGGGACGGGGACTTTCCGATTTCCCCGTCACTCGTTCTCCCGCTTCTCCCCTCGTGTTCTCCTCCACGTGCGTCAGCAGCTCTCGTGGGACTGTGGGGTGGCGTGTGTGCTCTGGTGGTGCTTGAGACTCCTCAAATCGCGAAGCATGATTCCCATATCTGCTTTTGAGGCGCCTCAAAAATGATTCCCATATCTGCTTTTGAGGCGCCTCAAAAATGATTCCCATATCTGCTTTCCCCAGGTACCCCACGTGCGACAGCAGCACTCTTGGGACTGTGGAGTGGCGTGCGTTCTCATGGTGCTCAAGGCGCTCCAGATCCCCATCCAGACCGTTCAAACTGAACCAAATCGGAGTATCCCTGCCGTCCAATCGCTGCAGCCAATCGGAGCATCGCCTGCCGTGCCTGCTACAGCCGCCGCTAGGAACTCTAGAACAGCGGTAGCCTCAGCTACAGCTACTAGTGCAGTCACAGTTGTAGCTATCATTGACGCCCCGAACACATCTACAAATATCAGTGACGCTCCAGCTACAGCTACAACTACATCTGCATCCCCTACACATATCGCTGAAGCTGCAGGCACAGCCACAGACCCAGCTACAGCCGCCGCCACACACTTAGCCACGCCCCCAGCCAACAGCAACACAGCTGTAGGCCCCACAATCGGCAAATTCGCAGCAGCTGATGCTCAGCCTGCCTTATCCCCGTTAGCAGCAGGTGAGGAGGAGCAGGGCGTGCAGGGGTCAGAGCAGGCGTTGGAAGAGGCAAAGGGCGCACAAGCTAAGGCTGTGGCAGGGCGGGACGCGGAGGCAGCTGGCCTGTGTGCGCACTTGCCTGTGCGGGAAGGCTCTGACGCCTGGGTGGGCTCGGACTTGAACGACCATGCTGGCCCGCCCTCGCACGCAGCGGGGGGTGTTGGGCCATCGCTGCTTGCAGCAGAGCGTGGAGCAGAAGAGTGGGGACCTGGGATGGGCGGCAGAGAAGCAGCTCAGAGGCATGGCTGTGTGATGCGAGCTGGGGACGGTGCATGTGACATGGCATGTGACATGGCATGTGAGGTGGCGTGTGAGGTGGCATCAGGCCGTGTGAGAGCTGCGCCTAGCATGGGAGCACCTGATGGGTCAAGTGCTACGACCAGGGGCAGGCCACCTGATGCTGGCGGGGCAGCTGCCTCTGGCGGCCACGCAGGGGGCTACTGGCTGCGATCTGGCGCGAGTGTGAATGGCACAGACGGAGACAACAGAGGGGCGTATGGTAGTGGTAGCAGCGGTAGCAGGGGTAGCAGGGGTAGCAGGGGTACCAGCGGTGGCAGGGACGGCAGGGGCAACAGGCAAGTAGCAGCAGGGGCAGAGCTAGGGAGAGAAGGCAACGCAGGCACAAGAGGAGGAGGAAATAAGAGCACAAACGGAAGCAGAATCAGCGAGCAGAGTGCTGACTGTGCTGTGGGTGTGGAGGGGGGCAGAGAAGGGGAGAGAGTACCAGAGGCAGGGCTGGCAGCAGGTCGGGCAGCAGCAGTGGCGGGTGTGGGGCCCGCAAGAGCAGCAGCGGGTGTGGGGCAAGCAGGAGCAGCAGCACAGGGAGAGGAGGATGCGCGGCAGCTGCAGTACCTGCACAGGCAGTGCGGCACCACCAGGTGGGTGCTGCGCGCATCACTTGCTGTGATGGCTGTTGAGCCGTCTACAAGGATTTAGGTCGAGCTAAAGCCACAGGCACAAGGAGATGCGTGGTGTCAGCAGTACCTGCACAGGCAGTGCGGCACCACTACCACGTGGGTGCTGCACGCATCGCTTGGGCGTAAGAATGCACCAGAATGTGGCAGGTGTTTATGGTGAGCAGAATGCACATTGCGAGTCATGGTCGGAGGGTATGGTGTGATGGCATGCATCGTATGCACGCCTGCCTACCCACACCGCCTTCCTTCCAATCACCATCACCTCTCCTCTTCCCCCCTGCACCCTCTACCCGTCACCGCCAGTATGTGCCATTTGTTAGAAACCGCGCACAAGTTGATTGACTATAGAAGAGGGCAGACAACTTTAAGTACCAAACATCGAAGAGGGTTGGAAGGGATAAGAGGCAAACGGAGGGGAATCCCAAGGGGATCCATCCAAATCGTGGGGATTTCGGATGGCTCGGGTTTGGATAGGTTGGGGATGAAAATCTACACCCAACCTGCCAAAGCATTTCTCACCCTCAAAAACAACCGATTCTTAGACAGCCCATTTCTACCACAATTGCAGCCTGTCTCCAATACCATTGACCTCTTCTCCCCATCGCCATCACCATCACTCTCCTCTCCTCCCCTATGCCCCCTCAACCCCTCTTCCCCTGTACCTGCAACCACTCTCTCCCTATACCCTACACCTCTCTCCCCCTATACACTATATTTCTCTCCCCCTATACCCTATGTCTCTCTTCCCCTATACCCTATACCTCTCTCCCCCTAAACCCTATGCCTCTCCCCCCTTATACCCTATGCCTCTCTCCCCTTATACCCTCAACCCTCTCCCCTATACCCCCAACCTTTTCCCCCTAAACCCTCAACCCTCTCCCCCAATACCCTCAACCCTCTCCCCCTGTACCCTCAACCTGTCTCCCATGGCAGTGTGTGGAGCATCGACCTGGTGGCTGTGCTGCACGGCCACGGCGTGGCAGTGGAGTTTCTCACCATCACCATCGGCGCCAACCCCTCCTTCGCCTCCGAAGCCTTCTACAAGGCCCGTCCCCCCCCTCCCCCCTCTCCCGTCCTCCCTCCCTCCCTCCCCCCCTCCCTTGCTAACATGTCTAGCATTGCTGCAATTGCTGACGTGTCTGACGTTGCTAACATTGGTAATGTTGCTAACATTGGTAATGTTGCTAATTTTGGGCATGTGCATCTTTGGCCTTGCAAAGTGTGGAGTCCGCTTCTCCCTCCCCACCGTGAGCGCTCAAAACCTCTCCCCTCTGTCCACCCCTCTATCCCCAACGGTGCAGGAGAACATGCCTGGCGACGTGGACAGGGTCAACCGCCTCTTTGCAGACACCATGCGAGCTGGCGTGCCCATACAGGTGGGGTGAGCGTGCCCATACCGGTGGGAGGGGCGTGCCTATACAGATGGGAGGGGCGTGCCCATACAGATGGGAGGGGTGTGCCCATACAGATGGGAGGGCGGGGGTTGGGGGGACTATACAGGTGATGCGAGCTGGCGTCCTTGTGCTGGTGATGGCAAAGGGTGCTCCCCTGGTGGCGGGAGGGGGCTTTGAGGCGGCGTGTGCATGTGGGTGGCAGTTGTGCTATAAGATATGGCACCTGCCACAGCCATGGCTGTCGGGTCAGTTCGCAAGCCACCTCCCCTCATCCCCTCCTCGCCTCCCACCTTTCTTCTCCCACCTCCCTCCTCCCACCTCCCTCCTCCCACCTCCCTTCTCCCACCTCCCTCCTCCCATCCCCCACCCCCCACCTCCCACCTCCCCACTTACATCCGCAGTCTGTTGTTGAAACTCCCCTTCCTTCATCTCGTTCCTTCGTCTCGTTCCTTCATCTCGTTCCTTCATGCCTGTCAAATATTTGTGGTGTTGTTTGCCCTCATTCTCCCCCACCCCTACTCCTCTCATCCCATCGTGGTGTGACTCCCCCCAGAATGGTCGTTCGTCCAATCCTCGCTGTTCCCCTCTTTCTCCCTTGCCTCACCTCATCGCATCGCATCGCATCTCATCTCACCTCATCTCATCTCATCTCATCTCATCTCATCTCATCTCATCTCATCTCATCTCATCTCATCTCATCTCATCTCATCTCATCGCATCTCATCTCATCTCATCTCATCTCATCTCATCTCATCGCATCTCATCTCATCTCATCTCATCTCATCTCATCTCATCTCATCTCATCTCATCTCATCTCATCTCATCTCATCTCATCTCATCTCATCTCACCTCACCTCAGCTCATCTCATCTCATCTCATCTCATCTCATCTCATCACTTCTCATCTCATCTCATCTCATCTCTTCTCACCTCACCTCATCTCATCTCATCTCATCTCATCTCATCTCATCTCATCTCATCTCATCTCATCTCATCTCATCTCATCGCATCTCATCTCATCTCATCTCATCTCATCTCATCGCATCTCATCTCATCTCATCTCATCTCATCTCATCTCATCGCATCTCATCGCATCTCATCTCATCTCATCTCATCTCATCTCATCTCATCTCATCTCATCTCATCTCATCTCATCTCATCTCATCTCACCTCACCTCAGCTCATCTCATCTCATCTCATCTCATCTCATCTCATCACTTCTCATCTCATCTCATCTCATCTCATCTCTTCTCACCTCACCTCATCTCATCTCATCTCATCTCATCGCATCGCATCCCACCCAGTGTGCATCCATTCGCATTCAGCATCTGGCGTGGCTGCTGCTGTCTGGTCGCTACCTCGTCATTGCCCTCGTGGATAAGCGCACCATCACGTACGTACCACCATGATGGATGATGGTACAGTGTGCATATGCATACGAATGATGATGGTGTTTGGTGTGCATAGCGCATACGAATGATGATGCACACTATGTGTTTGCTTTCCGGTCGCTGCCTTGTCCATGCCTAAAATAAACTGCTCTATCACGCGAGTAGCATGGACGGGTGCATGCGGGTCTATGGGAGGCTATGAGGGGCTGTGGGGGGCTATGAGGGGCTGTGGGGGGCTATGAGGGGCTGTGGGGGGCTATGAGGGGCTGTGGGGGGCTATGAGGGGCTGTGGGGGGGTATGAAGGGATATGAGAGGGCGATGACAGGCTTTGGGAGTGGTAGAGATGCAGTGAAGGGGCGTGAGTGGCAGTTTTTAGGAGCAGCCACATGTGACATGGAGGTGGATCTGATGCATAGTTTCAGCATGATGAACTGGCATGTTGCAATGGATGCAAGTGGCATTCGTGCAGTGTGGGTGAAAATGCCGTACAACTGTAGACAGCTGAAGTTTACTACTATCAACTGGATCAGGGCATTTCCGTTTTTTTTTTTTTTAAAATTATTATTTCTTCCTTTCTTTCTTTAGCTTATTTCTGGTCCGTTTGGCGTGCTTACGCAGTGCACTAAATCTCCAATTGTTCGTGGTGTGCCTGGATGTGGTAGATGCGATGAATTCCGGATGTCCATCGCCAGGCAGCACCTTGAGGCACACCATATCCATGTCACTCCCCACACGTGCAGCATTCCTGCTTGCCGTTTATGCACGGGACCACCTCCACATCGTATGTTGGAGGTAGCGAGCACCACCACTCACCCCCTCTTGCCGCTCCTCTCCCGCTTAGACATGGGCACAAGCCGAGCCATATCCGGCTCGGCTCGCCAAAATGACGAGCCGAGCCTTTCTTTTTGGGATCTGGCTCGACTCGAGCCGAGCCGGCTCGGCTCGGTCGAGCCAGCCGGCTCGACTCGGCTCGTACACAATGTCCTCGTCGAGCCGGGGTCGAGCCGGCTCGTTCCCGGCTCGATTTCGAGCCAGGTGGCTCGCCACTCGATTTCAAGGGTAAATTTCCCCCTCGACAAAACGTGTCTCCCGTTTCTCTCTCCCGCCAACAACTCCTAGTCTATGTTCCCGAAATCGCTCTAGAGGTGCAGCGTTTATCGTTTAAACGCTGCGTTTAAAGGGTAAACGCTAAACGCTCGCCCAAAATGTTTGACGCGGAATTCTTTCCCGCGACATTGCGACCTCGCGAATTCAACCAGTCGCAACCCCAAACTTTGACGACCAAAAACACATCCAACCCTTTTGCCCCGCTCAACCGCACTGCACACTACTGCATCTACAACTTCCAACCTAACCTCTTGCACCCTTCTTCCTCCTCACAATCCACTTCCCGTCAATTTCGCGAACCCTAGAATTCCGCGCGCCTAGGAGTATCTCATTAGGTTAGTTCGCGCGAGAAATCTTAAGCAGCCCGCGCCACTCTTAACAACGCGTGCTTGCATAGGCTCCACCCACACTACTGTTGGCTTAAGCGCATGCTAGGCGAGTCGAGCCGAGCCGGCTCGCCGTCGAGCCAGCCCTGGCTCACCCACAGAAATGCGAGCCGAGCCAGGCATGTTTGGTGCCCGGCTCGACTCGAGCCGAGCCAGGCTCGACGGCGAGCCGGCTCGGCTCGACCCCTGGACGAGCCGAGCCGAGCCAGGCTCGGCTCATGCCCATGTCTACTCCCGCTCCCCACATCTTGCGTTGTCCTGCCCTTTGGCACTCCAATGGCGCCCCCAAGTGAAGGGGTGTTAGGGGCCATGGGGGGCCATGAGATGAGCGGCTATGAGGGGGCATGAGGGGGCATGAGGGGGCATGAAGGGGCATGAGGGGGCATGAGGGGCTATGAGGGGCTATGAGGGGGTATGAGGGGCTATGAGGGGCTATGAGGGGCTATGGGGGGTTGTGTTGCACTTTACGGATGTACCGTGGTGGGCGTCACATGCATACACCCCTTACGCATTCTGCTTGCCTTCATTCACCAGTGCACATCCACATACGGTTTTTGATAGTGTGTTGATTATATAGCGCATATGTGACATGCTGCTGCCACATACGAGTCATGTATGCGCCATCGTCGCGCATGGCGTGTGTGCCACAAGGTTCATACGTGCTGAATGCCCTCAAATGCCTGCGTCCTTTTGCACTGCGCTGCTACGCCATGTGGATGTCTTTGTCTGCTCTGCTGCCGGCTTGTGACTCAGCACAAGCCGTGACCAGTATGCAACCTCCCCCCTCCTCCTCGATTTATTTTCTTCCCTCGTATAATTTCCTTTCCCGTGCACCCAGCCATCCTCTGGCTTCGGAGCGATGCCCTCCTGAGTGTTGTGGGCCAACTCCTGGCTACATTGGTGGGTGCTGGTTATGTTGGTGGGTGCTGCTTGCATTGGTGGTGCTGCTTACATGTGCTACATGTGCTACAATTGCTACATTTGCTATGTGCCACATTTGCTACATTTGCTACAATTGCTACATTTGCTATGTGCCACATTTGCTACATGTGCTATGTGCCACATTTGCTACATTTGCTATGTGCCACATTTGCTACATTTGCTACATTTGCCACATTTGCCACATTTGCTACGTGTGCTGCATTTACCACATTTCCCAGTTCCTTAAGCCGCTCCCTGCCACTTATGCTCCCCCCCTTCTATCTTTCCCGTGCTCCTCATATTCTGCTCCTCCCTCCTCCCTTCCGCGCATCCGTGCCTCCTATCACCCAGTGCCTCCTATCACCCCGTGCCTCCTATCACCCCGTGCCTCCTATCACCCCTTGTCTCCTGCATTGGTTCTCGCCCCTCACACCTTCCTAAGACATTTCACCTGCCTGGCCTGGCCTTGCCTTGCCTTCCCCTGCCTTCCCCTGCCTTACCCTGCCCTGCCCTGCCCTGCAGGCCATTTTGTGGTGGTGTGTGGCTTTGACAGCCAGTGCAGGATGTTTGAGATCTGCGATCCATCCTCACACGGGTATATGTTCCCTCAGCACATCGACGCACACCATCTCTCCCCCTCATAGTTCCATCTCCCCCCCTCATAGTTCGATCTTTCCCCCTCATAGTTCCATCTTTCCCCCTCATAGTTCCATCTCCCCCCCTCATAGCTCCATCGTCCCCCCTCATAGTTCCATCTCCCCCCCTCATAGTTCCATCTCCCCCCCTCATACTTCCATCTCCCCCCCTCATAGTTCCATCTTTCCCCCTCATAGTTCCATCTTTCCCCCTCATAGTTCCATCTCCCCCCCTCGTAGCTCCATCTTCCCCCCTCATTGTTCCATTTCCCCCCCTCATAGCTCCATCTTTCCCCCTCATAGTTGCATCTCCCCCCCTCATAGCTCCATCTTCCCCCCTTATAGTGCCATCTCCCCCCCTCATAGCTCCATCTTCCCCCCTCATAGTTCCATCTTCCCCCCTATTAGTTCCATCTTCCCCCCTCATAGTTCCATCTTTCCCCCTCATAGTTCCATCTCCCCCCCTCATAGTTCCATCTTCCCCCCTCATAGTTCCATCTTTCCCCCTCATAGCTCCATCTCCCCCCCTCATAGCTCCATGTTCCCCCCTCATTGCTCCATCTTCCCCCCTCATAGTTCCATCTTCCCCCCTCATAGCCCACCCTCTGACCCTCCCTTCTCCGACCTTCCCCTCTGCATCCTGTCTCCCATCTTCCCTCTGCCTGCTTCTCCCTCCCTTCCCCACCCCCCCAGCGGCACATCGTGGGTGCCCTTCGCAGCATTGGAGGATGCGCGCATGACATTCGGCACGGACCAGGATTTGATTCTGGTGAGGAGGGGAGAGCACGAGAGGTGGTGCCTGCATGCTTGAGAGCAAAGAATGGTGTGTTGATTGTGGTTGAAAATGTTCGTTATTCATTTTGTTTTCCATGCGTTTCTTTGTGATCATGTTTTTGTGGCTCGCAGGTTCGACTCGCGGACTCATCTCATAGTGAGCTAAGATGAGCAGTGTATCGCTTTTCACGACAAAGGCCGAAAGGTGCCTACAAAATAGTGTTAAACTAGAAAGAATAATTCGAAGAATGGAGAACAGGGGAGATATAGCGTTTGGGTTGTAACCACTAAGAATATACGCTATCTAGCCTATAACTTCTACATAAACAATAGAAGTATAAGTTCACACACCCCCTAGGCTAGATAAGGGGTAGTGCTGAGCAAGAAACACGCAGCTCAGGGTGGCACTACTAGTCCAACCTCTGAGGCAGGGGCCCGAAGACCAGTCAGCAAGAGTACAAGCAAGACAGAGCAAACCAAGGCGGCACTACTAGTCCAACCACTGGAAGAAAAGCCACAAGGCCAGGCTGGAAGGCATAAATAGAAATGAGTACACAATCAAGGGCCTAGCAAGTGAGAGTCAACAGGGACTAGACCTAACTGCAAGCGCTGATGATCTCTAGGCGGAAGCGCCTTAGTAAAGATATCAACTGTGTTGGCACCGAAGGCCAAGTGTACTACGCGGGCCTGGCGACGCTGCTGAAGCTCGCGCAGGAGCAGGAGGAAGTACCGCAGCTGGATGTGCTTCGCTCTGCCCTCAAGTCGAGGCTCCTGACACTGGAGGATCATGGCCCTGTTGTCAGCAGTAGCCCTGGGAGGACCTGAGGGTCTCAGCATCGTCTGCCCAAGAAGCGTCTGTGTGCCCAGTAAGGACCACTGGCTTGCGTCCTCCCAGCACTAGCCCCATGCCCGATGTACTTGCAAGATAACGCAAAACCCTCTTAGTGGCCGACCAGTGCTGTGGTCGGTGTCTGCCTGTGGCCACAAAGCGGGCCAGGATGCTGAGAGGGTATGCATTATCTGGACGAGTGCAAGTCATCAGGTACATGAGGCAACCCACCAGCTCTGCGTAACGACCACTGGGCTGTGCTGACTCCTCGAGAACTGGAGCTGAGAGCCTGTGGTCTACCGGCAGAGGTGTGGGCTGTGCGGAGGAGAACTGAAGACCGAACCTCTGAAGGACCTGGCGCACCAAGTGTGACTTTGTGAGAGTGATGGTGCACACTGCTCTGTCCCTGGAGATCTGCAGGCCGAGGTACCGGCGTGGCTCTTCCAGGTCAGTGCAGGTATGTGTCCTCAGCAGCTCAGCCTTCACGGAGGCCAGTGCGTCTCTGTCAGCAGTAGCAAAGACCAAGTCGTCTACGTAGACAAGGATGTAGAAGTCCGGCCAGCACGAACGAAAAGCGAAGGGTCAGCAGTGGACGGAAAGAACTACAGGTCAGCTAGCTTAGCATGCAGCATGTCGTGCCACTCACGGGGTGCCTGTCATAGGCCATAGACCGGGCGCCGGAGGATCCACTGGGTCCCAGGAGGGAAGGTACCGGTGAATCCCTTAGGACGACGCAGGTAGACCTGCTCGTGCAGGCTACCCTGAAGAAAAGCAGTGGAGAAGTTGAGGGAGTGGAGCTCGTAGTCACGCTTTGCTGTTACAGTACGTGTAGCAGCGCCCGAAGAGTAGTCATCTTTGGGGTCGGGGCGAAGGTTTGAAAGAAGTCCACCCCCTCGTGCTGACTGAAACTTCTAGCCACGTAGCGTGCCTTAAACACATGCGGCTCTCCAGGGGGGGCGCTTCACCTTAAAGAGCCAGCAGCCATCGACTACGTTCACCCCAGGTTGGGGAACTGCGTCGACGTAGGTGCCGGTAGCCATCCAAGATGCCATCTCCTGCTCTATGGCAGCTATCCACTGAGAGGCCCAGGGTCCCGAGGTCGCGTCAGCGTAGGTGCGAGGGGTCGGGATGTCAAAGGCGGTCACCCTCAGGGACAAGCAGCATGGAACAGAGATGGGGAGCAGCCAGTGACAGGAAAGCAAGCTCGTACTGCCGGTCCTCAAAGACGTCACTGCCAAGGGCAGGAGCAACCCCGACGGACGGAGGATAGACAGGGTAAGAGACCAGAGGGGTAGCGAAGTCAAGGCGGCGAGTAGAGGCAAAGTCAGCGACAGCAGCGACAAGAGCATCAAGACTGGAGACAAGAACAGACGGGTCGGTAACGAGGGAGGCAAGAACCCGAGGAACAAGAGGACGAGCAGCACGAAGGTAGTCAGACAGAGGGGGAGGCGTGACAGTGAGCGACGACGGAGGAGGTGAAGGCAAACATGGAGGATGAGATGCGTGGGAACGAAGCAACATAGGGTGAGAACACTGAACAAGAGAGATAGGACGAGCACGAGAGGGACGGCGAGACCAGACGTGAGACGGAGGCGTCGAGTCAGGAGACAGAGGAGGAGTAATAGGAAGGGAATGAGAGGGGAAACGAGCCGGGGACGAGTCAAGGGGGAAACCGAGGAAGACACAGGGGACGGTGCGAGCAATGAGCTTGTCCGTGCCAGAGGCACGAACGTGAGCGAGGCAGCCCCAGACGTGGAACGCAGACGCGTCACCAGGGAACCCGGTCCAAAGAAGGGTCGGCAAAACCTGCGGCCGCTGAGAGCGAGGCCAGAGGTTAAGCTGGTGAGCGGCCTAGCGAACGGCGAACGGCCACAGAAAATGGGGTGCACCGGCATGGATCATGGAGGTACGAGCCACCTCCATGACCAAACCGATGCGTCGCTCAGTGACCTCATTCTGCTGCGGGGAGTTCGGTAGGGTGTACGTCTGGGGGATACCCTCAGCACGACAGAACTGACCCAGCCGACCAGAGGCGAACTCGCCGCCACGGTCGGAGTGGAGACACAGCACAGGGTGACCGCGGTGGAGGCGCGCAGTGACGAGCCATGGGATAAGAACGTCAGGCACGTCGGTCTTCCACTCCAGGGGAAGCACCGTGGTGTAGCGCATGAAGTCGTCAACGAGCAAAGTAGAGCTCGCGACGTGGTCCAAGGACAGGGGCTGGGCCCCAGACGTCCAAGTGCAGAGTCTGAAGGGGTGCAGTGGCAGGGCGAAGTGAGGAGGAGTGAGGAGCACAGCGCAGCCGGCCCTCGACGCAGGGCGTGCACGGCGGCGCAGGCGAGGGAGGGAGACCAGGGAGCGACGCAGGGAGGCCGAGGACTAGACCGTACTGAGACATGTGACGCAGGCGGGGGAGCGCGGGGTGACCTAGGCAGTGGTGCCACAACAGTGACGGGTGAGTGAGCGACCAACACGAGCAGGCCGCAACTACCTGGGTGGACGCAGGACCGGAGGAGGACTCGCCCACCGGGGGAGGAGCAGTGTCCTGCTTAAACAGGCCAGACACACGATCCCGAGGGAACGTCGCAAGGGGGGCACCTAAGGCGGCCTCGGTACAGACCGCGTACCGCTCATGACGAGGGAACGTAGTGGTGACGCCGAGGTCCTAAAGAGAGCCGACACCAACGAAGTTCCTGGAGAATGAAGGGATGTGCCGACACCAACACGAGGGAACCGCAGGACAGGGAAGGGTAGTGTAGCTGCGAGCAACTACAGGACCAGAGGAGGGGTCCGCAAGGGCGACAGCAGCAGGTGCAGCAAGCGGCGTGGGGGCGGCGCAGTAGCGGAAGAAATAGGCTGACGCACCGGAGTCTAGAGTGAAGGACAGCAACGCCGTAGTGGCAGACGAAGGAGGAACAAGGGTAGAGCCTAGGCTAGACAAAGCAAGCTGTCCTACGCCTGACGCAGCAGGGGATTCTGGACTACACACAGGTGCTATGCCTAAGCCAGAGAATACAGAGTAATACGATCCGGAAACACTCGAAGCGTCAGCATACAGAGAATGCAAGGTAGAACTAATCTGATCCATGTCTAACTCAAACACAGGCACACCGTGGCGCAGCAGGCTGGGCTAGTCAGGGAGGTCCGGGGCGGGACCAAAGCGGCAACGGAAGAGGTCATCGAGGCGGCGGAAGCAGTGGGGGGTCGGGTGTGGGCAACGGCACACCGTGCCATGCAGGGGCCCAGTCTGAAGCTGGTACTGGCAGCTTACAGCACTGAAGCTGCCGGTGGACGCCGAGCTGCGAGGGCCACCACCACGACCACCACCGCCAGGGGCTCCTAGCCACCCGGGCGGGAGACGAGCCCACGGCTGCTGCTGCTGCTGCAGCTGTGACGGCTGCTGTTGCTGCAGCGGCTGCGACTGCAGCGGCTGCTGCTGCTCCTGGGCACCAGCACCAACCCTCTCTTCAGAACCAGTGTCTCCGCCACCACCACCACTAGCGCCACCTCCACGTCCTCCCTTGGGGCCACGGCGGCCCCGGCGCTGGCGCTACTGCGGGTAAGCCACAGCTGCTGTCTCAGGTGCAGGCGCAGTCGTGGCAACTGCGGCAGAGACGTCAGCGTACGTGCACTGGGAGGGGGCACGGCCCTGAAAGATAGGGACTGCTGCAACACCGCTCGACTGAGCGATAGTGCGCTGGCGAGTCTCTATCTCAGACAGAGTAGTGACAAAGGCGGTCAGGGTGAGGTCGGCAGGGTGCTGACTAAGGAAGTGGTCGCGGGCAGTGGCTAAGCGATTAGGCAGGCACATGGCGATGAGGTAAAAAGTAGCGCAGAAAGGTGGGGGGAAGGCAGTAAGCTGGGCGGCATCGCTAGCAGCGCGGTAACTGGTCTCTAGTGCACGGAGGTGAGTAGCGAGGTCAGCTACCATGGGGAAAGCAGAAATATCAGGGAAAAGCATGGGTAGGATCAGGCGGCCAGCAGAGGCAGAAGGAGGGGTAGAGTAACGCTCAACTACCGCAGCGAGAAAGTCCTTGGCATTCGCAACAGCGGTGAAGCGCGGACGCTCAGACAGGGGAAGGGCATGGCTAATGGCAAGCTGCGCTACTGCATCGCGAGCATCCCAGACACCTCGAGCAAGCGTAGCAGCAGCAAAAGCCTCGCTCTCAGCAGTGGTAGGGTCAGCAGGAAGGGGATCAGGCACAGGGGGGCGGGGAAGCAAACCATCAACATGCGTAGCCAGGGAGTGCCCATCCTGGCGCTCACCTGTCAGGTGCCGGCGGAGGTTGACGAGCCAAGCGGCGAAGTCGATCGCGTGCCCCTCAGCGTCCAAGCGAAGAACGGCCTCTGCCATCACACAATTTGACAGCGGCACAGCGGCTCAGCGGCACAGTGACACGACGGCTCGGCGGTTCGGCGGCTCGGTGGCTCAGCGGCTAGGTGGCTCGGCAGCGTGGGTGCTCAGCGGCTCGGTTCTAATAAGTTTAACTTCAATGCTTATACCAAAATCAAAGCCCTTGGCTAAAATAGCAGACCCTATTCAAGTCGGGCCCAGCCTGAACAAGAAAGGGGA